TCAATTTAATTTTACATCTGATGAGAGAATGTAAAATCTATATTAAGATGTCGCTAAAAAATTGTATTTAATTTATCAGCGTAACTTTATCGCGAAAAAACTAAAAACTGGAAACAAATATTGTTAAATTACATAATAAAAACTAACCGGTCATCATTATATTTTATTTTATTTAACTCGGCCAATAGCTATAGACTATAGTAGAAGTTAAGGGTTTAAAGGCGAAGTAGCAGCTAAAAAATAACACAATGGTAAACAGTATTGTAATCAGTTTATCAATTTAATTTAACAGCTATTCTATGTAACTGCTAAAAATATTGTTGATGATCCAGGTCCATCTTGAATTATTAACGAACCTATATTCAGTTCCAAATTTGAAAAAAGGAAACTAACTCTTTTATATCTTTAAATTATCAACAGGAAACCTGTTAGTTATACATTTGCTTTTTTATATATTAATTTTTGCAAGGAAATCTGTTATTGTTATGTAATCGATCATCTCATTAACAGCCAACTACCGTTAGATGAAAATAACAGTTCAAAAATAACGGATTGCTAATTAGTGGCCTACCTTTAATGAAACCTGTTCAATAGATGCTCAATTCAAATGTAATAATGATCTATTGAATTTGGAGATTTAATTAAATTTCGATATTATTTGAAACTAGTTATTTAAGATTCTTCCTGTACCATATTTTACAATAATAAGATAGTTTGTGTTTAAAGGCTATAAACCTCGATAAGCTTTAATGAGGTATCGATTTTCATTTTTGTTTACTCCTTAGCTTACTGATCGAACAGGAAGATATGCAAAACTGTCGCCTCGAAAGATGTATCACTATGTACATAGGTGTTATAAATTCCATTAAAATGTTTTCAGGTGATATAAAACTGTGGAGGAAGCGTAGTTTATGTTTTGAATACATTTTATACAAAAGATCAAGATCTTCTCTATAATAATAATTATCATATTTATGCTTTATTCTATAAGCCGTCTTATCTGACGTAGGAGGGGTGAAGGAGGGCGATCCTAGCAGGTATCTAAACATTTAGTAATATTTTCCCATCTTTTCATTTCAAGCCAATCATTAAAGCGTTATTATTTATAAATACGAAATGCATATAGGATCCTTTTAGTTTTGAATCGAGCAAGTATTTAGGAGTCGTGTAGAAGACTTTTAAAAAAAAATCGAGAATTTCCCAATAAATTTCATCATTCATCTATAATACAAATTCATTTTAACTTATACCCATTTAGAAATAATCTACAGAGCTTTTCATTCTTTAAGATGTACTGAATCATTTTCTAATTCATCTCTAATTGCATAATGGCAAGTGAAAACTTTTTCGATTAATTAAAAAATAAAAATATTTTTATCATACCTAATTCTGCCTGGTTTTCCATGATAAACTTCACACCTTAATTGTAAACTGCTAAATTATTTTTGACCAAAGTGTTCAAGGCGTCTTAACCAAAGGTAGTCAACAGTGAACAAGGTATGGAAATAACCGACAAACTAAACCGAAAAATCGGTTATTTTCATTTCGTCTATTTTACTGTCTCATTAATAAGTTGTTATTTTTTTTAAATAGTCCAATAATCGGGAAAGCATATTCAGATTTGAGCAGAAAAAAAATAATGTCTTAATAATAATATTTAAAATAAATCTGTATTTAATTTAATTTTGTTTTCCCTTGATCGACCAACCCACCCATCACCAAACCTCGAATTGTAGTTCATGTGTGTCTTGAAAATTCAATCATGATCAGTATAATAAATTAATAACTTGTGTATTTATGTAATGTTTTGTTTGACTAATTTCAAGTATTATTTTTAATAAAAACAAAGTAGGTATGTTTTTTAAATTGAACAATGAATGAACAAATAAGTAAAATTTAAAATTGTATTTTTGTACAGTAAAATATTTTGTGTGCAAACACACAAAAAAAGGTTATTTTGAGTTGTTTTAACCGCACGTTTAAAAATAAAGTGAAAAAAAAACCAACATAGAAACCGTTAGGGGGATATTTTCAATCCCTAAAAAGAACCAGATGGTATGGTTAATTCATAAGCAATGACCGTATTAATCATATAATAAAAATGTTTGCATTGTTTAAACAAAATTTTAGCAATTAAAATATTACTATATGTTAAAAAAAATTGTGGAATTTTCACAAAATTGTGTGGTTTCTGCATTAAACCTAATTTCGCTCCATTTTTAAAAATTATAAATGCACGAGTAATGATAGTAACTCGAGTATTGATTTTAAAATCTTAATTTTTACGATCTTCGTGAAAAAGAAAAGAAAACTATTGAAATTGATCAATCAATTGTTCCAAAAAAAAAGTATATAATAAAAACATTCAACTTGGCCAATTAAGTTTTGTTTGACTAATTTCAAGTATTATTTTTAATAAAAACATAGTAGGTATGTTGTTTAAATTGAACAATTAAGTAACATTTAAAGTTGTATTTTTTTACAGTAAAATATTTTGTGTACAACACACAAAAAAACAAAGGAGTTATTTTGATTTGTTTTAATCGCACGTTTAAAAATAAAGTTAAAAAAAAAAACGGAGAAACCGTTAGGCGGATATTTTTAATCCCTAAAAAGAACCATATATATGGTTACTCAAAGTCATAATCGTATTAATCAGATAATAAATTTCCACACTGTATTTATATAAAAAGTAATATACTTTACTAACCATTTTATTTATAATTGGATTCACCATTCATAAACCTAGATTATTAAAGTTATTTCAGAAATGACACATGGGATATGTTTATGAATATGTGAAAAAATATATATAATTTTAATAGATAGAAATCTACAAAAAATATATGTTATAAGCAATACATTTTTACATTGCTTACACAAGATTTTAGCAATTAAAATACCACCATATGTTAAGACAAAATTTTGGAATTTTTACACGTGTGTGGTTTCTACAGTAAATCTAATTTCGGCCCATTTTTAAAAATTATAAATGCACGAGTAAAAACTCCAGTATTGATTTAAAAAAATTAATCTTAATTTTTACAATCTACGAAAAAAAAGGGAAGAAAACTATTGAAATTGATCAATCAATTGAACAAAAAAAAAATAAAATAAAACTTTCAACTTGACCAATTAAGAATATGATTATAAAAAGATACCAAGGCAACGACATAGACCTCGTGCTTTTAGAGAAGATACTATAAATTCTTTCTGCTCTTTTTATAAGTCTAAACTCGTAAGACCAACCCTATTCTAACCTGAGTGGGAAGATTGAGATTAATACTGTAGATCCAGCAAGAAATACATTTCAAATCTCCTAAGCCGGATTCGAATCGGCGTCGCAAGACTCCGAACTGACTCAAGTCCTCTAGATTGGTAAGACTGGTATTAATCCAATTTTTGTTTTGTTCTCCAGCGCTGTCACAGTAGAGTTTAGTCTCTGAATGAGACTATTACTGGTCGTTTTATTAGTATTATGGGTTAAGATTGATCAACTTTAATAAATATTAACTTTAATAAAGAAAGTTACAGATTTTGCTAATCAACACAATATATATTATAACCACAAACAAAGTTTCTCAAAGATTGAAATTCTATGTTAACTTCAGAAAATAATTGCATCCAAGTACCGAGATGGAAACTTCACTGAACGACCACTATGTGTGATTTACTGGTACTGGGACCTGGACAAAGTTCGTTAGTCTCTTCAGGAGAAGTTTGTGCAGAACGTTGGTCAGGTTCTTCTGGTGATGCCAAGAGATAAACCGGCTTTAGACGGTATACTGATATGTTTATTTCTCTGTTCTTCAATTGAAGTGTAAAAAATTTGTCAGATCTGGCAATAGCTTTGAAGGGTCCTTCATCAGCTGCTTCCAAGGGTTTCTTCATTCGGTCAATTCTTACAAACACATGAGTGCATTCAGCCAAATTCTTGTGAATGAAGAATGACTTGTTCGTTTTTAGCTTCACTGGAACAGGCTTCAGCTCTCTCATAGTGTCTTGTAGTTGCGATATCTAGAAGTGTCACCGTAGAGTGGTTCGAAAAAGGAGAAACGAAGAGAAAAGAGATTGAGTTTGATGCAATTTATGCGTTGAACATGCATCTACAGCCTTCAAATATTAATAACCAACAAAATGAAGATATTGAAAATAAATTATCCAGGTTTTCACAACCTGTCGCAGCCCATAAAAGACTTGGAGGTATCAAACTTCGTCAAACCATGGTAGTACCAACTAATGGGACAGAAAACTTAAGACCTCCAGAAAGAGTAAGAGGAGTTGAAAACATTCTACCTGTACAGATCCAGCAGACACAGAATTATCTCCCAACCAGGATTTCATCTGAACACATTTTTATTATTTACATATGATATCGATTGTTTATCAAATTAAATTAAATCATATGGTTTGTCCTGCTCCTACAAGACAATTTGTCAATATAAATATAATGAAATAAAATCTGTATACTTTTTCAGGATAGTTTTTAGTATTACTCTCCTAACAACCGATGTTTAAGTCTTAGATTATAAATGGAAAAAATAATGACCAATAGTTTATTTTAATAAAATATCTGCAGAAACAGCACTTCGGTTCTTTCTGCTATAAATTATCTATATATTAATATTTTTAATCGATTTTTTAAAATAGTTAATTATGGAACATGTGTTCATTTTGCGCTAAGATAAAATACGAGTTTATGAACAATGTACCCAAAATCACTCTGAAGTCAAAAATTCAATGTTTCAATTAGTGAGCCTTCAATTCAAGAAGGAATATTAGTGTCTGCGGGTCGGCTTAAAAGTATAAATGAAAGAATGATTTCCATCCAGACCACTACAAAAGCATCTAAACTATTATATGCAATTATTAAGTAAACCCGTTTTATGATAGAACGGAATGTTTCATCAAAGGACTAAGTAATTCAAACAATTAATGGTTTCCATATAACGTTGTTGTTTTTAAAGAAAACAATATTTTTTGTTGTTTATTATAATTACCGGATGAAGGATATCCCGGTGCCTCCTGGTCCTCCTCCTCCGGAAGTTGCCCCTCTCGAACATGTTGGCTGCAGCGACAGGGTCAAGAGTCCAGTAGCTTCCTTTTCCGCCGCCCTCCCCCCGCTCTCTGGGTACTTTGATGAAAAAGTCGTTGAGGGAGAGGTTGTGGCGGATGGAGTTCTGCCATCCCTGCTGGTTCTCCCGGTAGTACGGGAACCGTTCCAGGATGTACCTGTAGATACCGCGCAGCGTCAGCCGCCTCTCGGGAGACGAAGATATGGCCATTGCGATGAGGGCGATGTAGGAATATGGAGGCTTCTCAAACCTCGGGTAGTGTTCTTCCTGTCTCTATAACAAAGTCATACTAAAATAAATAAATTTATACCGGTAAATAAAAATACAATGTATTTTCAAAACAATTACAGGGAGGGTTTTGCCATGGTATGATTCTTTAAACCTAGATTAGAAAATAACGATGAAGTTTCCAAGGAAATTTGGAAGCACTTTACCAAAGGCCAGTATTGAATATCTCTAATTTAATTAATATTCATTGGAATATAAATTACAATGTAAGACGAGCGGGGAAGCTCAGTGGGTAATGCTTTGGATTCCTAAGCTCAAGGTAGATGGTCCATGGATCAACCATGTGGTCTGGGAAACATTCTTAGGACACTTCCAGCCTCTATAAAGTGGGTACTCTTTATTAAATAATTAAGTGAAGGCACGGGCGGATCTACGGGGGGGAGGGGGCTTTCGGGCTGAAGCCCCCCTCAAATTGGTAAAATATAACCATGTTTTATGGAAAACAATATTAAAAAATTATATCTTAAAGTAAAAATTATTGTTCATGTAATTACATTTAAAAGGACTTGAGGAATCACCTAAACACCATTTCATATGGATAGCTAGTTTCTTTCTTTTTTTCCAAAGTAAATATCGTCATTTTTATGAAAAAAAAGCTTTCGGACTGAAGCCCCCCCCAAAAATTAAATCCTGGATCCGCTAGTGATTGAAGGGGGAAAACTTTACGGTTGAGAGTGATCTAGGCCCGATCACTACTTGTATAGTTGATGGCCTTGACAGTAGTTCCTTACAAAGTAATGAACCCAAGTTAATTAATGAAGAAAACTGTTGGCCATTTCGCTAGAAGCTTCCTGTAAATGTTACATTTCAGAAAAATTTTCCAACCACACAAAAAAACTATAAACATTATTTTTTTCTTAATTCGCTTCAAGATAGAATATCAATGACACAAACTTAAAATCCATCCAGAACGATCAGTCTGAATAGAGAAGCCTGATCGAGATTTAATGGCAAAAATAAAATTGGACGAAACAAAATGACAATCAGGAAAATGAAGTGAATATCCCTCAAATCCAGCGAATGATCAATTGTATTATCAATTACATTGGAATTAATAACGAGAAGATCAATCAGTTAATTGCCATACAATTTATGAAGGATAATTCGTCCAATTTAATTTTGATGTAAATCTTACATGCAAGAGCGGATCCAGGGGTTGACCTATTTCAGCACCACGCTATACAAGAATGAAATAAATGATTTATACATCATAGACGAATTAATCGTTTGAAGATTCAAATAAAATGAAAAATTATAAGCTAAAAATATAAGTTTTGTGAGTACTTTTGAAAACCATATGTTTATTTATCGATTTACCGATCAAATTGACTGCCTATTTAAGTCAAAGTAGAATTAACAAAATTTTATAGTTTCATCATTTTATCGTTGTCGACCATACTTTAATAATATCGTTACTGTTAGTGCAAAAGATCATATGTAATAAATTTAAATATTTATTCTCTTTGTGCTAGAGGTGACATTTTGTAGTCTGATAAACAGGAAAATAAAATATGTAGTTATATTAATAAATCTTAAAGAAAAAATAATGTTTTATGCTTTTCTGTAAAAAAACTAAATTTTTGCATACAAACTTTTGCACTAACAGTAGATATGATTTGTGACAAAGCCAATAAGGAAACTACGATCTTTCCTGTAAAATATATTTTTTCAAATAAACCGAATAGAAAAATTATTCAATTACAAATATATATATATATATATATATATATATATATATATATATATATATATATATATATATATATATATATATCGTAATGATGTTAAAAAAATCAATGCAATTTTCAGGTACAAAAAAGCCATTTTATTAATCCTCAATTCAAAGGTTTGCGAAAACATCAATTATCGATTAATTAAATTAGACGAAAAACAATTTTTTTCTGTCGAGTGTTTTATTTGTAAACAATCTGATTATTAATAATCATAAGAGCCCAATAATCTCATTAATTCTTGTTGTTTTCAACAGTCGTTTTCCTCCATATCTCATATCTTATCTCTCTCAAGTGACATTCTTCACATTTATTTTCATCTCAATTGACCAATAATAATTTCACTCATTACATATTAAATGTTAAAAATAGAATTGTTATTCCTATGGCAACGTTTATATCAACATGTAACTGTTTAAAGGTGTATCAAATGAAAACTTTCCATTATTAAATAGGCACTTTTGTGAATGACGAAATAAACATAAGATAAGCAAAGTAAACAAAACGCGCCTTTGATTAATAGCTGTTTATTGTTTGTTACTTTTAGCTTGAATATCATTTGAAAGTAAATTAGGAAGCAGTGATCAACACGATAACATTTTGAACTTTAAAAAACGTAAGAGTGATTAGCTTATAAAGATATTATCCGATTCTCACTTCAATTTGGTTTTCAAGATAATGATTTTTTTTTTAAATCTTACATAATTATATCTGTCCATTGTTTAGAATTTCGGGGGAATGAATAACCATTTAGAACAATAAAGTTTATTCAGAATAATATGACGATTAAGATTGATAAAGCGATTTATCAAAAAACAAATTTAGTTGTCGAAAAAGATGCTAGGAATTTTTTAAGTTTGATGAACTAAGACAAATCTGTTTTCTCCGTAATATTTTTTATTTTTATTTATTTATATGATATTTATAACTGTATATAAAAAAAAAAGTTTGATGAACTAAAACTAATCTGTTTTCTCCGAAATAGATCAACTCCGTAAGTCCAAATAGGCCTTATTATAGTCATGTAAATGAGTCTTTTGTAATTAATTGGAAGGATAGAGCGTTTGTCTAGTAAGTGTTGAAGTATTCGGAAACGTCGAGCTGTTTCTTGTCGTTTCAGTCTGGTATGAGGATTCCAAGTTAGACGTTTGTCCAGGTGGAGTCCTAGGTATCTCCGAAATATGAATTCAAAATCAAAGCACCACTTGCGCATAAATTGATTCTAAGAGTGGTTTCACACCAACTCCAACGTAGTTCGCTGACAAAGATTCCGAAGAAGGGGTGTCCACTCCAAGCTTAGCTTTATAACTATCATATCTTGCAGCAAGGAAGATCTAATATTGTACAGTACTCTGACTGCCATGATAAATCTGGAAGCGAATTCAGAATGAACAAAAAAGAAGATGATTAGTAAAACTATATTGAGATTTTAGCAGTTTAATTTTGTACCCAGTATCACACAAATTACAGAGACCATTCGCTTTGTGAAATGTTAGCGAAAACTATAAGGTTTTTAATGACGTTTCAAAGTTTGATATACCACATTTGGAACACATCTTTCTTTAGGAGTTTGCCTTTTCTGGATCGCGGAAATTGATATTCAGTAAGAATTTGCTAACGAACGTTAGTGCAGATTGACTTTTTGCACACAATGCGACCGAACTGCGATTAATTGGCGTGGGTCCGTCTTAAAGATTTCAAGCATTGATTACATGAGCGATTTGAGTTCTGACATAAGAAGGTCTAATGAAGTTATCTCGTTTCATCCTCGAATGGAAAATGAAATGATATTGAGAACGGCTGTACACGGAATTTATTAATAAAAAGTGTCGGTATCACTTGAATTTTTATAGTCGATAGTTTCCCGTTGCAACGTTTCAAGTAAAATTTCATTTTTAAAAAAATTCTGTCGATTTTACTAAAAAGTCTAAAAAATGATTTTTTTTATGTGCGCCTAAATTTCTAATGAATTTAGAAAATGAAGGTGTTCTGTTGCTAATAATTGACAACAATCTACAGATTCAAAATATATCAGAGAAATTACTAAAAAAAAATTTATATTTCTGATTTAAAAAGAACTCACGAATTTTTATGGTTGCTATCACATATAATTATTATCACTTATTATCCAAAATAATAATCAAATGATTTAAAAATTCCAAATAAAAATTGTGATCAGATTTGATTTTTGAGTGGCGGGGTTGCCAAGTGAAGGTAAATTGATAAAATAATGACGAGTTCCTGACCCGGTACTGGGAGGGGCTTTTAACTCTGGCCTTAATTCTCCGTCCTCACTCCGAGTGTTCCGAGAAAACCCCGTATAGCCTAAAAGGCGAGGAAATGGAGGAAAAAAACTTATCTATACCTGAGAAGTAATCTAATCTGTTTTAATAAAAATGTAAATGTTCGTTTGTTCAAAACCGAAAGTTCTTCAACGATTGCTTCGAAAATTTGGCCCAACGTTTCTATCGGATTCAGGAGTGATTTTATATACATTGCATTACCATCCAGCCTTTCGTTTCTGAAAGGTGGCCGAAAAACTTGTGTCCCTATAGACGACTATAGCGCGTAAACGGCTGTGGCGTTTTTAATCAAATTTGGTTAAAATATTCTCTTTGAAAATCTTTTAATTTACGTGCACAACATGCTTCCTAATGATTTTAAATTAGTGTTTTAGGTAATGTCTTTGGTTATAAATATCATCATCAGATAATATTAATGCGTATCAATGACCGAATTAAGATAAAAACAACAAAATAGTAGAAAGAAATTTGCTGCCAGCTGAATTCTGCTGCCCCACGCAAATTCTGGCCATGATTAAAGTTGGGAAAATCAATGGCCCATACTCATTGTATTATGTGTGAATAAATTGATCTCTAAAAAATATTTAGCCATTCTGATTTAGTGTGATTGGAGAAACCTTCCAGTGAAGGAACTCTTTAACGCGACTCTTCACAATGTAACTGATCCCAACTCCAGAGGCGTTTGAATCTTCTTGTTGAGGTTTTCTGTTAGGAATATTTGTACAAGTGGATCAGGATGTCCAGCTAAGGTGTCATGAATTTTTTTGTAATATTTCTTAATTACGCCAGTCACACATGGTATTTGTAGGTCTATGAAGATTGGAAAATTTTAATAGTCTCTAATTGTGTTATTTTTTCATGAACCTGAGAGGCATACGTCCATATTGATCTGAGTAGAATGTTCTATAAAGTAATTTTATTAGAAAGTGATAGTTTGTTTTTATAGTGTAGC